ACAACTAAGTAACTATGCCACGCCCTACACCCTAAACCCCCCCTAACCCTAAACCCTGGCCTGTAGCTACCGGCACTGGAGGTGGTGGAGGCGGCAGTGGAGGCCTCAGAAACAGCTCGGCCTTGTTTTTTAGAATAGGGTTCATTTAAAGAGATCCGTAAAGAGCTACTGTAAGGGATCTACAAGGGTACTATGATATAGGTAGGGCTTTAATAATTAGAATAGGGTTTTGGGGCCCATTATGCCATAGTTATCATAAGGAATCCCCAAAATACTGTTGATGATATAAACCCTGCATTACCTTCAGGACCCTAAGCTATGGGAATTATGGTATATTCCTTATTATGGGGGAATGCAGGATTTCTATCATCAGCCGTAGAATCGGTGATTATCAAGGGCCCCCTTGAATAGGGTCTTAGGGCCTTGGGGGTTGCTGGGTATAAGATACTGTTGATGATATAAATCCTGCATTACCCTAAATAAGGAATATACCATAATTCCCATAGTTTAGGGCCCTTAAGGTAATGCAGGATTTATATCATCAACCGTATGGCCATGGTCATGCCCTGGTCCCCGACCCTTACTCAAGCTGGAGCTGTAGATGAGGATGTGAGGAAGCCGGAACCCTCACCCACCACAATGCAAGAATATCTATATCTATATCTATATCTATATCTATATATATATATATACATATATATTATCTTTTCAGATATTATGATGCAGACTCTGTAGACCCCGCTCAACCCTGTGGTTGTTGGCCCCTGAAGGCCCTAAACCCCGCAGCTGGGAATATCGGCCTAATTGATTGCACTTGGGTTTCGAGGGTCTTTATACTAAAACTGCTGTACGCATCCCTGAAAGTTAAAAATACCAGCCATTCTTCGAAGAATTTTTGGCATCCATGCGGCGGGGTATTGAGCTTGGCGCGCTTCGCATCAGGTCCTGGCAAGTGTCGAAGGAAGTGGGCGTTGTGGGGTTCAGGGTTTAGGGGAAGTTTTGGCTGTCTTGCAAGGCTCGTGTTTCCGTCAAGCTTCATGGCTAGGATCCCAAAATAAGAGATTAGGGCAACCAGCAAAAGGGGACTACATTTAAGGGTCTGGGTAGGGTTGTGGTTTGGAGAGAAACCTTCAGGCCTGTGATTTGGTGTCCACATGCCTTGCACATGGATTCCTGAGCCCTTTGAAACCTCAATCGTGCCGTCTTTCGCGTGGTCGGGCCCACAAAGTGTCCCTGGTGTCTCAGAGCATATCCACAGCAGCAGTATAAGGAAAGCTAGATACATTACTAGATTGCTGGAACTGTCGGTGTTTGCCCCACGGCCCGCAACACTACTGCGTCTACGAAGCAACAGCAACCCAAAGCTAGCTAAGCAGAATTTCCAGGACACTGCCGCCGCTGCGGCCAGAAGCAGAATCATCATCGCCACCATTATCATCATCCAATTGCGTCACACAGCATCCGCAGCATCACCGTCATCATCATCCTCATCATCATCATCACCACCATCAGCATCGTCATCATAATAATCATGGCCCATCCTCAATATCCCCATGACCATGACAAGTAGAGACGGGTACACAGCCTCAGAACATGAACGAAGCCATATACTCGTGTCTCCAAACGAAGTCTAAACAAACTCACCCTGAAATTGCAACTTCATATGCCGAGGGGCCCTCTTCTGCTGCCGGAGTTTCGGGAGTGGCCATCACGAGCAAGCTGAAGCCTCAGAATCCCCACATTTCCGCGGCAAGGCACTTAATCTAGGGGCCTTGATAATCAGAATCGGGTTTTGGGGTAGATTACATTATAACTAAAAATAAAAATAAGGAACGCCCCCAAAATAGTATAGGTAATTATGAAGGCCCCTATATTCAAACAAGGCTGGGGTTCTTCGGCCTTTGGGCGAAGGGCCTGAAACTTCGGGGCTTTCGGCTTTCGGGTGCCAGTGTCCCAAAGGTTTTGAAGTGGTTAGTAATGGAAGAATGGTAGTAATGGTAGTTATATGGTAGTAATATCGTAGATATATGGTAGTTATATAGTAATGGTATGGTAGTAATAGTAGTTATATTTGTACCCCATCCTCCATTCCCTACTAACCAAAGGTAAGTAAAGGGCCGTGGCAAAGCACCTCCGCAGGCTTCCATCTTGAGCTGCGTCTAGACCCAAAGAACGCCTTCAATACTCTTTTCTGCTCAGCGTACACGGGCCATACCCAAACACTAAAATTTGAAAAGCCGCGAACGCTGAGTGTGAGCATCTGCGGAGGAGGAAACCACAGGATTCCTTTCTTGAGCAGGGACTGCAATGCACCGCAATGCGCCAAGCCCTAATCCCTAAAGCCAGAATCCATCCACCTTAGGCAGAATTGACCGGCCCCGACTGACAGATTTCCACATCTGACGTACAAGGCCTCTTAAAGATATGTGTGGTTGTCGAAATTAGGGTTCCTTTTTGGCTCATTATCATCATACGGCACCTATTATTTAGGGTACCCCAAAAGGGACCATAATTTTGACAACCGCCTACGGAATGAAGAAATGCCCTAAACCCTAATCCCTAATCCCTAAACCCTCAACCCTAAACCCTAATCCCTAACCCTGATCCCTAAACCCTAAGCCCACATGTAAGGAAATGCACAAAGAGAGGCAGGACCTCCAAGGGCTTAGAGCTCTACGACCCCAGAGTCCAAGAGCTCTAAATGAGAGTTTCCGAAAATAGGGGACCCTGTAGGGTTCCTTTAAAGGGTACCAGAAAGGGATCTATAGGGTTCTATTAAGAGTTTAGGGTTTTGGGATATGAGAGTTTCCGAAAATAGGGGACCCTAATCTAGTACCCTAAATCGTAGGATCCTTATTCGAAGGACCCCAAAAGAAGGGTAGCCCCAACTTTCGGAAACTCCCAAATCCTAATTCACTGAATCCTACACCCTCAAAGCTATAAATCCCGAAAGCCCACACCCTGAACCCCTATAGAGCCCTTTAAAGGAACCGTTATGGTACCCTCACAGAAACCCTTTAAAGGGTTGTACCCCTCATTTAGCCATGCCACCGGGAGCCAGACAAAAGGCTCACTCATGGGGCGCCGCCGGTCAAGAAAAAAACAAGGGGGAGCGGGGCTAGTTGGGCGTTTCAAGGTCTGCATTGAATCAATGTGTTGGAAATCCTTGAAGGCTTTGCGTCAGAGCTTCGCTGCAAGTTCACGGCTTTTTTGGTGAAGAATGTTTTGAGGCTCCAGTAGGGTACTGCTTCTCGCTGGGAGGTGTGTGGAGTTGAACCCAATCAAGCTTTTGGGGGTGATCAGATTTGAACCTGAGAGCGACTGTCACTAGAAACACGAAAGACTCAACCCTACAAGGTTTTGTGGCCGTCGGGTTAAGCGCTGCACTACACCCTACACCATGGATCGCTTCCTCCCCAGATGCATGTCGACACGCAAGCGGCCAGCTACGACGCTGGCGGCTGTGAGCCCATACAGGCAACGTTGCAGCAGCATTCAGGGTCGTAGAGTCGTAGAGTTTCAGACGCAATGCTTTAGCCGCCGAGCCCCCTGAACACCTAGGTCCTAGGTTCCTGAGTAGCCCCTGTACAATAAGGAAAACCCTTTGCCTACTAGTCGGTTCTTATAAGGGGAATGTAAGGCAAAAAGGGCAAAAGGGTACCACTCAGGAACCTGGACCCTCTTTCAACTTTAGGTTTATTATGGTTTCTATATATAGTTCCTTAAAAAGGTAGGTCTTTTCGGCTACAGGTAGTTCCCATCTTTCAGAAGTTTCATTGGAAATCCTTCCTGAGAGTGGGTGCCTTTGGAGCTTCGACTGAGGTCTGCAGGGTGAAGGGTTTCACGCTCGAGGCCTCAGGGTTGAGCACCTTCCTTACCTTGGGTTAACAGGGAATGGTTACTTTCAGGGGCCTTGATCATCCTATGACTTACCTTTGGTTAGTAGGGAATGGAGGAATGGGGTAGAATTATGACTAATATTACTACCATTCTTCCATTCTCTACTAACCAAAGGTAAGCTTCGTGCAGCGATGATTGGGGTGTCGACTGCGGGCTGTGAAGCCGCAAGGTGTGGGGGTTGAATGCGCGTCCGCCACCACCACCACCACCACCGCCACCGCCACCGCCAGCGCCAGCGCCAGCGCCAGCGCCAGCGCCAGCGCCAGCGCCAGCGCCAGCGCCACCCCCACCACCACCACCACCACCACCACCACCACCACCACCACCACCACCACCACCACCACCACCACCACCACCACCACCACCACCACCACCACCACCACCACCACCACCACCACCACCACCACCACCACCACCACCACCACCACCACCACCACCACCACCACCACCACCACACCACCACACACACCACCACCACCCACCACCACACCACCCACCATGCAGCGCCACCACCAGCGCCACCACCAGCGCCACCGCCACCGCCACCGCCACCGCCACCGCCAGCGCCAGCGCCAGCGCCAGCGCCAGCGCCAGCGCCACCGCCAGCACCACTACCACCGCGGCGACCACAACTGCGACTACGATTGCTACCGCAACCGCAGCCAATGCCAGTGTCACGACCACTTGCCATCACAAAGACAAACGGTGATGCTAGAAGCAAGGCGGCTAGCAAATGATTGCCATAGCCACGATGACACAAAGGTTTATCATCACATTCTTCAGATTATGGTGGAGATGGGCTTGACGTGATCAACCCATAGTTCAAAAACTTCGAAGCTCACCTCTTTCTAAGGTTGCTCTACTCAACATGTTTACTAACAAATACTTTGAAGGGGACCCTATGCCCCCTATGCCCCTACTCGGCACACCCAATGCCCAAACTCACATCCGGAAGGCCTTAAAAACCCTCTGATTTCATCAATTCTGAAGCCCTGAAGCTCTTAAACCCTGAACACTCCAACACTCAACCCTAAACAACCTTAAACCCTAAACTCCCCAAACTCTTGAACACCCTACTGAGCCCTACTGGGCAGCCCTGCGGAGTGCAGCGGAGAGTCGACGAGCCCAGTTCTTCTGGGGGGACGGCTTCTCCTCAAGAAGCCCGGCGAAGGCTGTAGTCCGAGTTCTATAATGTTCCTGTTTGAGTCGAAGAGGGGTTCTATGAGTTTCTATCTTATGAGCCCTATAAGGCTTGTACTGAGAGTTCTAGTGAGAGTCGTTTTGTTGTATATTATGAACAGTATACGGGTTTACCGGATTGATGATTTTCACAAGCGTTCTGTAGAGTCTCAAGGGCGCTTTGGTGTTTTGCCAGAGCTTTGCAAAGTCTTCAGGGATGAGACCTCTGTTGTCCTCGTGTGGAGCCGTCAATCTCAAACCCGTTTCACCACTGCCCTCGGCTCTCGGGCAATTGAAATTAGAGGACCCCGCATACCTAAACTAGGAGCCTTGATTGGTAGAGTGGGGTACAGCCGGGGATATAGATTTTTTGCATCCAGGACTCTTGCAATCAGCGGGAAAATGCAGATTAAACTACCCAACACCCTACGCGAAGTCTTAGAGAATCGAGACTTGCTTGTGGCAGCCGGTGTTTTAGAGACACCTCTTCGAACCGGATGTCTTCTTCTCCTACTACTTCTACCATCACCACGACGATCACAACTACGACTCCTACTACTAGTCCTAGCCGTTACAATCCAACCAGTGCTTCTCGCACTGAGGGACACCGAAAATAGTTCCACTTCTCCACGTCCTGCTGCGGTTCTGCGTGGACGCCAGCCTTCTTAGAGAGCGAAAGGCATCTGGGAGACCTACTGAGTTCCTTGGACCAAAAATTTGAGACTTTGTAGCTGTGGTAAGATGATGTAAACCCGAAACGGTCGAAGGCTAGCTAAGCTACTGAGGGAGGGCGGTGGTGTCAGCTTCGTGGCTGTGGCTGTGCTGTGCATTGCAAGGCGTCTGCTGTAATTGCCGGTAGTGATACTCAGCAGTCACCCAGAGATGCACGTGGACACAAACCGCAATTTGGCAATCCCCGTCCTAACTCTTCCATTGCAAACACGCTTGCACAGCCGACTGACCCTCAACCCAACCACCGGTAAGACGAGGATCCTCAAATTAAACGTCGGCAGGCATCAGCGAACATCGAAAGTATCTTACCAAAGCTATGCCTTCTCAGGAATGGTTTCTCACGAGGTTCGAACCGCGGAGCTGCAAGCTTTAAGCCCTGAGTGGCACCGCAAAAACCCTTGGGCCATCACAATATTCCAAAACGACAACACAATCTCAAGCCTTTGCACAGGTTTGCAAGCTCCTCCAAATCATTCAGCAACGGCCGAAGAACCCGAAAAGCCTTATTGCAAGATGAAGCCCTGAAGCCCCGGGTTAACTCACACCATCCATAGACAGGCGGAATGCTTCCGGGCCGAAACAGCCTGGCATTTCGTTCGAAACATCGCGAATAATGTTTACATCTATTTGATGTGCATATAATCCCACATAAATCAAATCCAACCCCCTGGATTAGCGCCGAGCCGGCGGCACACCCTTGAAACCCCGAACCATAACCCTAAACCAGACACCAGAACTTCCCTAAGTAAGCCCTGATATACCTCAAGACCCCTTCAACTCCAAGAGCCCGAATCCTCAAACCACGGGATCAGGACGCCCAGAACTGCTACCACGCAAAGCCTCCCAAAGCCAAAACCCTAAACTACACATAAGCCCTAAACTATTTTTTAAACCCTAAACTACTATATAAGCCCGAAGCGACTATATAAGCCCTAGACTACTATACAAGCCCTAAACTCTTTTTGCCTGCTAAACTACTATATAAACTCTAAACCAAAGCCTCCCCAGAGCCAAAATCTTCCGATGCCTCAGAGAGGTGGCTTCGGACCCGTGTGAACGAGCCGGCCGCCTGGCACCCACGGCACACAAGGCTCGTCTCGTCCATTTAACTTTCTTGCTGTCTGAGGTACAGTGTGTTTGGGCTCTAAGGTTACAGGCTTGTATGGCTCATGTGTTTCCATGCATGCCGCAAAGCTTCAAAGGGTTCTTGCTTTGAGAGGCCTTGTGTTTGGTTCTATCAGCCATTTAAGCGTTGCTTCCAATTACATGCCCTCGTCCCTTTCTGAGTGCGGACTCGAGCTGTACCACACCTCATGCCCTCGTCCCTAAACCACACCCTAAACCCTTTGTTTTAACCCTAAACTCTAAACCCCAAACCCAAAACCCCCAAAACCTGGATTCTCAGAACGAGATCTCGAAGCTCGAGCTCTGGAGCTCCGGAGGCCCAAAGCCCTCGCAGAGCCTCCCAGAAACCGGATCTTTCGTCTCCCGACCCTAGAGCCTTAGCGGACCCAGAGCCTCCAAAACCCCTTAATTAAGGAATATACCTTTAAAGTATATTGGGGATCCTACTATGATTTAAGGTATATTCCTTAATTAAGGGGTTTTGGAGCCTTAGCGGAACCCTAAAGCAGCAACCTTTCAAAGGCATCTATGTAGAGTTTCACCTAGAGGCTCGGAGCCCTGAGTTCTAGACCCTAAACCTCTGAACCCCTAAACCCGAAGCCCTGAATCCTGAGCAAAGCAATCTCCAAAAATCAAAAACATGCCCTGCCTGGTTTCCATCCCGGCGCTTGCCGTTGAGGAACCTCAGAGGAGGTGCTGAAAGGTTTTCGTCGTGTGCTGCTGCAGCTGCTACTACTGCTGCTACGACGACGACTACAACCACAAGTACCAGTACCAGTACGAGTACCACTACCACAACTACCACCGCCACCACCACGACGATGACCACCGCCACTACACCATCCCTCTATATGTAAAGGCATGACAAAACATAGTGATACGAAAAAGTACGGAGAAATAATCGCAACCAGGCCGACATTCATACGAAGTAGCAGACAGCGGTAACCATGGCAGGCAACAGAAAGCACCTCGGGAGTCTTCAATTACACCCTCTCAAGAAGAAGCTAAGCATCGCAACGTATCTTCATGTACATATTGAGCCTAGAGCATATTCATGCGGAAATCCTCGACCTAATCCCCAAACCCGAATGTGATGCAACCGCGACCGAATCCTAAATCCTCTTCAGAAGCGTGCTGCTTTTTTTTATCCCCCACTGGCGGTCGGCTGCTGGCCCTTCTGGGCTGTCCCGAAAGCAAACGGTGCCAGGGGATGCTGCAAAGTCTGCCTGAGATCGAAAGCTTTAGGGCTCCTCTTAAAAGGGGTCTAGAGTCTATAACACTTACTGCGACTGACTGTAAGGGTTCTATGGTTCACATTAAAGAATGAGAAATTGGTTTCGCAGTCTCTAAAGCTATCGTTGTATCAATGAATATGAGCGAAGTTCTTCTTCTTTTCTTGAGGTTATCGACCTATATTGGTGTTACGGCTTCGGGCTTTTCGGCTCAGAAACATGTGGCCGAGGGGTGCACGAAGGTTGGTGTTGGATTCCGAGAAATCCAAGAGTAAGACCTGCGCGTTGAGGCATCATACTTGGCAGGGTTTTTCAGGGAGAAGATTCATCTTTAATTCGACGCTGGGACCTCCTGCTCTCAAGGTTTACAGTAGGGATCTGGGGAATGTAGGGTTCAGAGTGTCATGCATATGTGCCCAGGGTTCCTGTTCATAAGGCTTCGCATAGCAAGCCCCAGTTGCACATCTTAAGTGCGAAGCTCCGAAAGTTTTCTGGAGTTGGGTTCTTCAAATCCAGACCCTCGGCACACTCCGACCAGCCGCGGTACCTGTAAAGGAACTTGCTACCTCGGAAACCCTCCCCAAGGCGATTGCTGGAGACCTGGGTATCCAAATTCCCCGACGACTCCGAGATCCCCTGAAGTCAGAAACATACTTCAAATCTTACGGGGATCCTGAATAACGACATATCTTAGCGTATAATCATTAATGAAAGGGTTTTGGAATCTCTGGGAATCTATATAGGTTAAGGGGTTCTGGCTTAACGCCTAAGGCCTAAGGGCGCTTGAACCTTCGATTAAAGCCGAGTCTGAACTTATCAGACTTTTCCCAACATCTCGCGAGCTTTCAACCACGGCACTCGTATTCTTCAAGAACGGATTAGGGAGACGGCGACAGGCAAGATTCGAGAACTGAACGCCTTTATGCAAGAAACGCCACTCATACAGCGGCAAGCATAACAAGGGACCCGAAAGAAAAATACTGATGGTTCCGTGTGCCCCTACATTACACCGCCCAGCTGCACACTGCGCACCATGGTGGTCGCCACGCTCTCCTCATCCATGACCTGCAAAGCATCAAGTTCAACCGGCTTCGTATATTCCACATGTCGTGCTGGGCATTACCGTGGGGAGTATCAAGTGTTGTAAGTCTGCTGGGCCCAAAGTACTTCTAACTTGTCCCGAGCCTCAGAAGTAGGGCCTAGTCTTTAGAAGAGGAGGGGTCTTTGGGGATATTCTGCTAAAACCATACCTGGGGCTTTTAGGGAACAATACTACCAATCATTTAAGCTTCGATACTGAGCCCAAAGAATGTATGTTCGACAAAGCTGTCGCCAAGTTTCACAGCCCCCTTAGATATGGGAGTTTCCGAAATTGGGGGGGGGCACCTTATTTTGCGGTTCCTTATAATAGGGATCCTACTATTTAGTGTACTATATTAGGGTCCCCTATTGTCGCCAACTCCCATGTAGGAGCATGAGACCCGAAGTTCTAGGAGACCCTCGTTATAAGCAGGTAAACACTGCTTACACGTCCTATCAGCAACACCATACAGCCTATCAAAGTCGTAGAGAGCCCTTTGTTGAGCCATTCTGGAGTGTCTGTGTCCTTGGTCACTCAGCCTAAGCTGCGGTTCCGTTCTGCGGGCCCTTCACACGTGATGTGGAAGTGTGATTATGTGTGATTCCTTATGCTAGCTTCGGAACCTAGGGAGTAGGCTCTTTGGTTTAGGAGAGTGTGGTGCAAATAAACTAGGCATCTGCCGAAAACTCCTGAAAGCCTCGAGCAGTGAGCTTCGCAGAAGCTATGCGGGATGTCGTGTTCAAAGATGTTACGGACGTTCTTGGAAGGCCGCCCTAGGATCTCTAGTCTACTTTGTGTCATGTTATGAACATCACTACTGCTACTGCTGCTACTACTACTACTACTACTTCTGCTGCTTCTGCTTCTGCTACTACTACTACTACTACTACTACTACTACTACTACTACTACTACAACAGCTACTACACCTGGTATGATTGCTACTACTGCTTCTTCTCCACTATTACTAGCACTACCACGATTTGCTCTACCATGATTGTTACTACCACTGTCGCTTCTACTGTTGTACTTTCTATCATCCCAAAGCCACAGCTGAAATAAGCTGAGCCACCCGGTCTCTATGCCAAGACGCCTGGTCGAGAGGACAAAGCGCGCGTTGAACGACAAACTCTGAGGAGCGGCTAGAAGCACCGAGCGGGTTTTCCATACGGGGGTTTCCGAAAATAGGGGTACCTTATTTGGGGGTCCTCATAATAAGGATCCTATTATCTAGGGTACCATATTAGGATCCCCTATTTTCGGAAACTCCCATACGGTCAGATACGCGGTTTGAGATCTCAAGTTCATCCTCCTGATCTCCGGTACTGTGTTTCAACCGCTTGAAGTACGGGTTGAGCATATCTGATGCGTGAAGGATCTACTAGGACTGGGATAGTACTTCGGAATGAAATTTGACTTGCTCTCCTTCGGCGAGTCTTTGTGGTCAAGTTGAGAACCGAGCCCACGGTGCGCATTCCTGACAAATAAGCTCAGGGAAATCACCAGAAGCAACTTTAAAGGTTCAAGTCCGTCCACTGGGCCACGAAACGCACAAACTTCGCGCTAGCGCTGTGGGCACCCTATGCTATTTACGGTTCAATCATTGTGGGCAGGTTGATGCTCTTCACTAGCGAGGACAGTGGAGCATGATTTAGGCTTGCCACTCCACTGACCCGAGCCCTTCAACCCCAAATCAACAATCCTTCTTGCTACTGAAAGCTCCTAAACCTGGAACCCTTGAGCCCTCAGCTCCAGAACCTCGCCAGTTGCTAAAACTCCAAGACCCTAATCGCTAAACCCCTTATTCCATGTGAAACCCCTAAACATTATTTTTCTCTTTTCGCTTGTATTTTGTACCCCATATCCCCTCAACTCTCGGACTAAACCCTAAGCCCTAAACCAAGGCTCTTCGCCGGCCTGGCGTTGGAGATGCTTCGAGGAAGCTCGGAGGAAGAGGGACATCGCCTGCCCCTCCTGCAAACAAAAAACAAAAATCGCTCCAAGTTTTAAGTTCTTTAGATTTTCTGTAAGACTATATTATATTGGCCTTTGCAGTTAGAATAGGATACTAATGGGACAGGATTTTGGGGGTACAATATACTAAAACTACTGTAATGAAGAATGGGCCCATCCCAAGATCGATCATTGTTATCATGTGCATGGCGGTACTGGGGTTGTTGCTGATCATGTAGTTGCGTTGCTGCGATGGTTGATGTGAAGCAAAGCCATGGCAGTGAAACTTAAGTTGCTGGTGGGGTCTTGCTGGTAATTACTGTCCAATCGTTGGCCGTGCTGATCAACACGACGACACCATGGTTTTGCTCTCGAAATAGTACCAATATTGTCACATGCGACGGCAATTTTAGTGATCATGAAGAAGAGTTCCATAACCTGAGAACCGCACGACGTGCAGCGTGTACACCAGCAGGGAGTGCCTTGGTGCCTTTCGTTGCCCGGATCCGTTGTCCCAATTCGTCGAGCTGAGAGAAGGAAAGCTTCCCCGACGGAACATGGACTGTCAGTCTGTGTTGAATTCTGCACAACAACCATAAAACCTGTGCTTGTCGGACGTCCAAAACACCGAAACCCACGTCCTCTGCATTGGCTAGCCTGGCGTCTCGTCGAATCCCGTACAATCCGAAACCGTAAAATTCACGTGTGGTCTTCCTACCGGCTTGCAGCTAGGACCAAAGGCTTATGCGGTTTGTGTACGGCTTTGTCACAATCTCCGAAAGATTTTGTACATCCTGAACCCTAGAACATCCTAGAACTCTGGCTGACCTGTCAGTATCCAACCAGCTGAAAACGACATTGAATCTGCTGCCGCTGCTTCTTTCCTGACTGTGTGGGTAGCTTCGGGGTTCAGAACCCTGAATGTTTTGGTTCAATTCTCCTAGATCTCCATCTTTTAACTTGGCCAGTTGGTCTTTTGGGACCAAATTAAGGATTAAAGCGCCTCCACAACATGATATATAGGTTCTCTACTCTACTCCTAGGTAACACCTCCTCTCAACTTGAGCCTCCTGCGGCTATCCCTCCTGAAAACATGTGGTCCAGAAATCTACAACCTGAGCCCTTTTGCTAAAAAGCCTAAACCCTGAACTGAATTATCCCTCGCCACTCCGTCAACCCCAAAATCCGTAAATTGCGACGCCCGCAATTCGAAGAAGCGATACCCTGTCCGAGTGGCTGCAGCAGCACTGTGTCTGGTCCATGCCCACCATATTGTGCGAGCCGAATGCGCACAGTAGCCGGGAGAGAGTATCTGCAGCTGCTGGGTGCTGTTGTGACTTGGGTGCATGTTATTTCACATTTCGCACACATGTGTGTGATTGTGTGTGGCATAGGCAAGGCCGCTGTGGTCCGTGGTC